GGGAACCAAAATTGAGATGATGCCTCCACTAGATTGGCCTGTGGTGCATTTTCTTGACTGTTGATTGATGCTCACAGGCAGTAGCCACCCCTAAGCTGGTGGTCATGGATGGAAGATGCTATATCATCAGTCTGCTATAAGGTGGCAGGCTGAGCAAGCCAGGAGGGGCATCCCTCTAGCCTCTGCCTTAGTTTCTGCCTCCAGGTTCCTACTTGGAGTCCTTCCTCTGACTTCCTTGGATGAGGGACTGGGGTTGGGGCACAGGAGATGAAGTGAACCCTTTCCTCCTTGGGTTGCTTTTATGGTGTCTTATCACAGCAATAGAACCCTAACCAAGACAGACATCAACAACAAAAATAGAAAGCCCAGTTAGTAGAGTGCTTGGTAGACATGCAGGAAGCACTGGTGTAGCTCTTCAGCACTGTGTACGCTGGGTATGGCAGAGGCAGGAAGACCCCCACTTCAAGGTCAGCCAAGGCCAACCTGAGATAGAGCAGACCCTGTCTCAAAGAAATAAGGGGTGTTTACATATTATTGGGTCTTACACCCTTTTCTTCTTCACCCTTCCGTTACAAAGGCGCAGTACTATAACACCCTGCAGTCTTCCCCCTTAGATGCTCTTTGTGATGATGATCTTTCATCTGCACAGAGAGAACCTCCACTGTTCTCGCAAGATGGTAGTTGTCCATTGTAGGGACGCAGCCAAACTGGTCCCCTCCAACTGGGAATCATTTCCAGTCTTTTGCTATTACAAATCGGGTTCCAGGGTTGTTACACAGAGAAACTCTGTCTCGAAACCAACAACAAATCGAGTTGCAGTTGGTGATGGCGTTTATGCCTATGTGGAGGTTGGATTCCTGATGTGGAATGGCAGCTTGAAGGGCAAATTTCCTATCAAGGAGTTCCAGCCATTTGCATTCCCCAAAGCGATCTGTGAAAGGGCCTGCTTCCTCATAGCTTTAGCTGTGTGTCCTCTCGTTTGAATTCTTTGAATTCTTTTTCCTTTCTCTTTTAGAGACAGGGTGGCCACTGTGTAGTCCAGGCTGGTCTCCCAACTCGCAAATCCTGCCTCAGTCCCCTGAGTGTTGATATCGTAGGCGTGCACCACTGTGTGTGTGTGTGTGTGTGTGAGAGAGAGAGAGAGAGAGAGAGAGAGAGACAGAGAGAGAGAGAGAGAGAGAGAGAGAGAGAGAGAGAGAGAGAGAGAGAGAGAGAGAGAGAACCCCTTTTAGGGTGATAGAAAAAAAACATAGGAGAAATAGTGCTTAAAATAGCATGCAAAAATACTATTGAATCACCGGGCGGTGGTGGCGCGGCCGGGCGGTGGTGGCGCGGCCGGGCGGTGGTGGCGCAGCCGGGCGGTGGTGGCGCAGCCGGGCGGTGGTGGCGCAGCCGGGCGGTGGTGGCACACGCCTTTAATCCCAGCACTCAGGATGCAGAGGCAGGCAGATCGCTGAGAGTTCAGCCTGGTCTACAGAGCGAGTTCCAGGACATGCTCCAAAGCTACACAGAGAAACCCTGTCTCAAAAAACCGAAGTGGGGTGGGGGGTGGAGGGGATACTATTGAAAGTTTCTTAACAGGTGAAAAGCTGATAAAAAAATAGAACTAATGTTATACATAGATTAATAATGTTGTTTTGTATGCTACTTATAAGCTTCCACAATGCTATGTAACAAAAAGGAAAGAACTGGTTTTACCACAGAGAACTGTGGCTGATAGCTCCCTCAGCCAAGTAATGCCAACCAGCGCAGCAGCTTGGGAAGGTGGTCTGTGTGCCTTCCAAAGTGACAGGCTCAGGTCACAGTCATCCTGTCCTCAAAAGGATCATGGGAACCTAGTTGTGAGGGTATCTACTGCACACAAACTGAGAGTTTCTTCAAAATTAACTGGCCTATACACTTCAAAAACACCACTCACGATGGACAGAGTACAGAGCTGGATGGTAGGGAGCCGGCTCTTACAGAAAGCCTGGTAACCTAAGTTTTTTTTTTTTTGGTTTTTCGAGACAGGGTTTCTCTGTGTAGCTTTACGCCTTTCCTGGAATTCACTTGGTAGCCCAGGCTGGCCTCGAACTCACAGAGATCCGCCTGCCTCTGCCTCCCGAGTGCTGGGATTAAAGGCGTGCGCCACCACCGCCCGGCGGCGGTAACCCAAGTTTAATCCCCAGGAACCACATACGGGCGCAGAGAGCACCACAAAGCTGCCCTCTGCCCCCACACATGCTATTGCTCATGTGTACCTATAATCACACACATGCATCACACACACACTAACGTTCTAAAATATTTATATATTTATTTGTTGTGTGTGCGTTCTTACAAACATGCCACAGTGCATATGGAGGTCAAAGAACACTCATGGGAGTCAGCTGTCTTCTTCCACCACGTGAGTCCTACAGACCAAACTCAGGTCACTGGGTTGGTGGCAGGTGCCTTTACCCACTGAGCCATCTTGCTGGCCCTATACCCACTTTGTGTCTATTGGTTCTGTTCATGACTACTCCCTGACCTTGAGTAGAACCTCATGAGATTTCTAGCACATGCCTGTGCTAGGTCACACCCCTCTACTTGCCAAACAGGCGACTTTTTAGTTATCTTTAGTTTAGGGTGATGGGGAGCCATTGAGAAACAAACTCCAGCATCTGTCCTTGAAGTATCCTGCTCCATCAGGCAAGAACTCAACATGGCTTCAGTCCTGATGCTTTCCTATCCAGATAGTGAAGCATTCCCTACAGTTTCTCTCATTCCAGACAACTCAAATTCTTACATCATAGAATGTTGAACACAGGAACAGCCATCCTGGTGATAGGATTTGGGGCTATTTAGAAGAGGAAAACAGAAATAAATAGCCCCCCGCAAACTCCTAAAAATATTAGCAATAATACACAGAGACATAACTTGGCTTGTTTGGTCTTTAAGAAATATTTCAAAGTCGGGCAATGGTGTGGGCAGAGTACTTGGGAGGCAGACACAGGCAGATCTCTGAGTTCAAGGCCAGCCTGGTCTACAGAGTGAGTTCCAGGACAGCCAGGGCTACACAGAGAAACCTTGTCTCGAAAAACAAAACAAACAAAAAGAAATTTTTTTGAGTCATGCAGATCCTACTGAGGAGTCACCATTAGCAAGGCCCCTCCCCACCAAAACTGAAGAAAGGTCTGGACAAGAAGTTATTGTTGAAATTAAATGGTGGCAGGCACATACAAGGAAGACTACGGGGCTCTGATCCTTCTATGAATCTTGTGATTGATGAGTGTGTAGGAATGGCAATCAGTGGGCGACAGAATGACATCATAACGGTGGTCATACGAGGAAAGAGCATCATCAGGTTAGAAGGCTTGGAAAGAGTCTACACAACAGCTCTTCAGCAGAGGAATCCATATCCCTCCCCAAAGGGCCTGTTGACTGTGGTGTAGAATTGGGTTGTGTACATTTTCATGAAACTTTTTTGCTACATAAACTTTTGTGATTTAAAAAAGACAGAAATATTTCAATAGTTGCTGTCCTTGCTCACAGTAAAGGAAACAGATGTGGGGGACCACACCTGTAATCCCAGCACTTGGAAAGTAAAGACAGGAAGATCAGGAGTTCAAGGTCAACTTTGGCTTCCTAACAAAGGTGAGGCCTGCCCGTGTGAGGCGAGAATAGTCAAAGCAGTTGTTCCCTATGGTGCCCCCCCTCTTCTGCTGTCTCCTGATTTGATTCATCAGAACTTTTTTCCTACAGAGCCCTCCCGAGTCAGGTACCTCCTGAGCAGGTTTGAATTCTCCGTGTTCTCCTTTTTTCCTTCTAAAGGTGACAGGAGAATGGGGCTGTGGGCAAGGAGGGGAGGCCACACTTTCCCTCGGCCCGACTGAACTCTAGCTTCTCTACTAATTAAACAACACTGGCTGCTATACTTTGCTTAACCCTGGGAACTGGTCATCAGCCTTTGACCTCAGCCCTCCTCTCCTGACCAGCTCCCTCCCCCTCCCCCACCTGGCCTCTGGACCTCTGTCAGATTTAGAGGAAAGAAGCAGTTCTCGGAGTTACTGTCTCAGACAGCACCATCGCCTCCTGCCTGTCTCTGTAGAAGCGCATCGGCCATGAATCCCAATGGGAAAGCAAGTCCGGCTGCGGGAGAGAGGTAAGGGGTGGGCTATCCCTCGGCCAGCTCTTGCTGCATTTTCTGACCTCTGAAGGACTCACAAGGATGACCTCTGACACTTTTGAGAAGACCAGGCCCTCTCCCTGGTAGTTAAGTCAAAGGCCTATTTGGAAGATCTCATTTAATCTAAGTCACATCTTAGGTTCTTAGCTCCTCAAGCAAGGGAGTGCCTTCCCAGGGGAAGAGATGGGCAATCCAGAGGACATGGCCAGGGTAGCCTCCTAATTTGTTTTACGCTCCTCTCCTACTCAATCGCCCCCTGCCTCGGGACTAACTCCCAAAGCCCTGCTCCCTTTTCAGAGAGACTTCCCTTCTGGATACCACACCCTTCTTGATGTAAGTGTTGAAGGAACTGGAAGTGAGGGAGCCTGGCCACTGTGGTTTCTCTTTATGCCAATAGAGCTCCAGGGCCCCTCCAGCTTCCAGTTCACATTTGCACATGGCCAGAAGAACAAAATGGGAAACACAAAACACTGGAGATGGGCGATGATCCTCCCTCCCTTCCTCCCTCACCCTCCTCCCTCCGTCACCCTACCCTCCTCCTTTCCCTTCAGTGTCCACTTCTGGAGCGGTAGAATTGGTTTCAGACCACACAATCCACGCACCCTTTGCCTACCCTCAGCCTCGTCAGCCCTTCTCACTGAGCAGACTATCTTGGCAAGTCTTTACTGCACTCTGCCTGACTTTTTCTTCCAGAGGGGACTGGAAAGACTCAGGGCCCAGATACAGACTCCCTTCTCTAGACTCAGGTTCCCCAGAGCAACTGGGAGTAGCCTGGCCCACTCTCTTAGCTACGGATATATTCTGGAGAATATTTCTTGCTTTACTTTATTGAGTTTCCAAATTCTCTTGCCAATCTCATTACTTCCTGTTTTAAATTGAGGTATTATGTAGCCCAGGCTGCCCTCGTACTCACGATCCTCCTGCCTCAGCCTCCCAAATGTTGAGATTAAGGGTATATACCCCATCACACCTGGCTACTGTTTCATTTTTTAGAAAGATATCAAACTGCACATGGTAGCATATGCCTATAATCCTAGCATTTGGGATTGGGAGACAGGATAATCAGAAGTTCGAGGTCGTCTTTAGCTACGGAGTGAGAATGAGGCACTCTAGGCTACTGAGACCCTATCTGAATCCCTAACACCTTCAAAGTGAGATTATCTTTACTTTTAGTGACCCCTGTTAGAAGCTTTGGAAAAAACCTGAAGGGACAGAAAAGAAGGAGGGCAGAACTAAGGTGGAGGCAGGGAAGGTCAGAGGGTAAGGAAGAAGCCTTAACTGAATCTGAGGTCAGATTAAATGAGGAGGGAGGAACCCAGGGTGACGTCCAGCTTTCTGGCCTGCTGTCAGGATCCTTGGTTTGAAGGATGGAAGAGCAGGTGTGTGGTGGGAATACCAGCTCCACGGGTCACATCTCACTACGGAAGTGGCAGGCCTTCCAGACGGGACTGTCCGGTGGCCAATAGTCAGTCTGGAGGTTCGAGTTCAGCCTAAGCCACAGAGCTGGGACTCTTGAGCAAGCAGCTGCTCCCTTTGCTGCATTCATTCTTGCCCCTCTTGGTCAAAGGCTTTCTGGCCTTTAAGATTCGGGCTGTATTCCATCTGTGTCTGGGGGCTCTTCTCCATACCTTCAGTGGCTCCCTTTCTTCTCTGACTCTCCACTGGGCACTCTCCACAGGAAACTGCATTCTCCTTCTCCGAACATGAACACACACCTATTTCTAGTATATAACTGTCCAGGCAAGGAGCCTAGGATTGGTCTTATCCTGGACAATGACGCTTAGCTCAAATGCAAAGACGGCTACACTCCTATGCTTCTCAGGGATAAGTGGTGTCCAGTAATGAGTAGTGACGGTTCTGTGCCCTTTTAGGAAGGTACGACTCCTCTCTCTGCTACTCATCAGTGCCTGGGGCTGTGTGATCTGTCATGGAAATCCTGTGGATGACATCTGCGGAGCGAAGCCCCGGGACATCCCCATGAATCCCATGTGCATTTACCGCTCTCCAAGCAAGAAGACCACTGAGGAGGATGGCCTAGAGTCAAAGGTCCCGAAAGTCCCGGAGGCCACCAACCGTCGGGTCTGGGAACTGTCCAAGGCTAATTCTCAGTTTGCCACCACCTTCTATCAGCACCTCGCAGACTCCAAGAATGACAATGACAACATTTTCTTGTCACCCTTGAGCATCTCCACAGCTTTTGCTATGACCAAGCTTGGTGCCTGTAATGACACCCTCAAGCAGCTGATGGAGGTACAGTGAAAAGCCCTCTCTCTTTCCTGGATGGGGAACATCTCTTGGACTTCTTTACGCCTAATGAGCGAGCCTAAAACAATACATCAGGCTGTGTGGTGAATCCACTGTGGGTTATGGTTCTCTTTGAGTCACTACTTCATGGGTTGAGATTCTTTTTCTTTTTTTTTTAAATGACTTATTTTTTATTGTATGAGCATTGGGTTTTTTTCCCCTGCATGTGTCTGTTGGATCCCCTGGAACTGGAATTACAGACATTCATGAGCTGCCATGTGGGTACTGGGAATTGAACCTGGGTCCTCTGGAAGAGCAACCAATGCTCTTAACTGCTCAGCAATCTCTCCAGACCAGAACTATTTTTCAAAATGACTCTTAGGTTTTTGAGAAAGGCTTTTACTGTGTAGCCCAGGTTGACCCCACACTTACTATAGGTAGCTCTGGCTGGCCTTGAACTTGTGATGATCACCTGGCCTCAGTCTCATGAATAGCAGAATTACAAGTATTAGCTACCATGTGGCTAGTTATTTTTTTAAGTAGTCAATGAGTTACTACCTGGATGTCTTCTTTATAAATGTTTCCTAGTCTCTCCTATTTAAAAATTATTTTACTTATAATTATTTGAGGGGGAGCACACATGTGCTGTGGCATGTGTGTGTAGGTCTAAGGACAACTTTCAGGAGTTGGTTCTTTCCTTCTACCTTGTTCAGGGAAGGTCTCTCATTTCTGCTACTCTGTATAGTCCAGGCTAGCTGCCCTGTAAGCTTCCAGACGGTTCTCCTGTCTCTACTCCCCAGAGTGCTATTATAGGCGTGTTGGGGTTACAGATGCCAGCCACTCCATGTGGCTTTTCATGGGCTCTGGGGATCAAGTGCAGGTTGTCAGGGCTGAGAAGCGCTTGTGCCTGCTCACTCCTCTTGCCGGCCCATGCTCCATGCTATTCATGAATGGGAGAAGGCTGGTGTCACAACTTCTCTTCAGCCATTCTTTCTCTCTCTCATTCATTCATTTTTTGAGACAATGTCTCACTCATGTTGTCTTTGAACTTGTGATCCTCCTGTCTCTACTTCCCAAGTACTGGGATTACAGGTGTGTACTACCAGTTATTTGTATGTTCATTTACTATATCATTTATATATATATATATATATATATATATATATATATATATATATATCTCAAGCATTACTTCTATGGTGGGTCATATGCTGGGTGAAGACTCTAGTTCCTGTCCTGGTAGGGAAAAACAATTTGCCATCTGGTGAGCTCAAGCAGATTGACTCTTGGGGTAGATTCTAGGGCTCTGTACTGAGACTTAGGTCCCATGAAGCCTCAAAATCTCGAAGATAAAGAACACTTTGGAGCTATGGGCAGTACTGATCATTTCTGGGCAGTGACTTTCCCTTTGGGCAGGGCAGGGAAGAGGGGAAGTGAAAGTGGAGTAAGCTAAGAAGTGCCATGAGTGAAGTAGCCCCGGTGGAGACAGCAGACCCTTGCTCTGCCCGTGGCTTCAGCGTCTGCTGGCTTTCCTCAGGCTGAACCTCACTCTGGAAACAAGGACAAATGGCAGGGAGGCAGCAGAGTCTCCAGCATGGCATACAGTGGTCGTGTGAATCCAACACCGAATTCTGCAAGTTAGGAAGGTTTACCTCTGCACACGTGGCTAGTTCCCACTACACTTGACTCATTTGTTCAGACTCAGGGATGAGGTAATGCACACCTCCACTCCATAGAAGAGGGCTCAGCTTCTAGAGGCTCTACGCTGCCTCTTCCGTGTTGCCAGCACAGTGCATACGAGACTGTCCTTTCCCTGGTGTGTTACTGATGCTCGTGTGAATGACAGCCGGTGGCACATTAGAAACCCCCGTCACCAGTGCCGCCTCCTGAGCCCCATCAGTAAGCATCACACACACTGGCATCAGTCTCAAGCATTTCCTAATATTCCATCTCTGTCCCCAAATGTGAGCGTAAATGTGACCCTTCCTATAAAAAGACACAAGAGCTGGAGACTCAGTGGTAGAGCCCTTGACTAGTCATGCGCAGAGCTCTTGGTTTAGCTTCTATTGGTGCAAAATAAAAACAAAAAGAAAAGACCCGCCCGGCGGTGGTGGCGCACGCCTTTAATCCCAGCACTCGGGAGGCAGAGCCAGGCGGATCTCTGTGAGTTCAAGGCCAGCCTGGTCTACAAAGTGAGTTCCAGGAAAGGCGCAAAACTACAGAGAAACCCTATCTCAAAAAACCAAAAAAAAAAAAAGACCCAGAGATAGAACATCTCTTCTAATCCTAACATGTCCTCTGAGTCTCTTCTCCAGATCTTCCAAACATGTGATGGAAATATAGAAAAACAGATCTCTCTCTCTCTCTCTCTCTCTCTCTCTCTCTCTCTCTCTCTCTCTCTCTCTCTCTCTCTCTGTGTGTGTGTGTGTGTGTGTGTGTCTGTCTGTCTGTCTCTTTCTCTCTCTCTCCCAGAGAAACCCACAGAGCTTTTAATCAAAAGAGTGATAAAAGGGGACCTGGTGAGAGGCGTAAAAGGCTTGCCTTGCATGCATGAGTCCTAAGTTTGATCGCCAGACCCCATGTACAGAAAGCTGGGATTGTGCACATGCTTATAATTCCAGAACTGTGGAGGTAGAGACCAGCAGATTCCTTGCAGACAGCCATTTTATCCTAATCAGCCAGCTCCAGGCCAGTGAGAGACCCTGTCTCACAAAGGGGAAAGATGGGCGTGGAGATATAGCTCAGTGGTTAGAAGAGCTTCCTTCTCTTCCAGAGGACTCAAGTTAGATTCCCAGCATCCACATCCGGCAGCTCATAACCTCCTGTAATTCTAGCTATGGAAGATCCAGTGCCTCCTTCTGGACTCTTTAGGCACTCCCACACATGAGGCATTCATTCACCACCCCCCAAATACACATGTTTTTAAGGAAGAGAAAAAGGCACATGGTGCCTGAGTAACAACACTCAAGGTTGTCTTCTACCTCTACATAGCTGTGCATACATACCCATGTGCACACAGCACACACACAAGCACAGAGTACATAGCAGAACAAAATCAGGAAAACTGAATCAGAAGAAAGAAAACCAAAAAACCTTTTCCCATCGAGGACAGAGCATAGAAGGGGGTGGGCAGCCTCACCATGCGTGCTGGTGATGAAGAAGGTGGGTGTTTGGCTCTGTGACAGTGTCGATGGCTCGGACAGGTATGCGGGAACTTTTAAGTCCCTTTTAACCCCGAGACTCTGATTCTGGGTTCATTTAGTTCCTTGCTGACACAATCTTTGCCTTTCCCAGCTCTTCTACAACCAGTATTCCAGAGCCCTCAAGAGGTGCTGACCCAAGCAGATGCTGTGGAAATGCTTGTTACCATGAGATACGACATCTTGGTCCCTTTATCTGTTGAGAATTACCAAGATGCCTTCTCCCTTCACAGTCAGAAAGTTCCCTGTACTGTTCTATAGTCCCTTAAAGAGCAGGTGGCATTCCTCTCTCTTGGTCTTTCCCCATTACATTTCCTGCCCTTTATTCTTTTTCTTGCATAGTCATTTTCCAAACACGAGCTGAGTGTTTAGGCCACACTGGGCACTGGAGGGCACTGTACTGGAGGGAACTAGCCTCTGAGACAGCTGTTGGTCCAGCCTTGTACTTGGCACCCGCGGTGACTGGGCTGCCCGATCACACCTACCACTGTTTGCTTTTGTCATCTATAGGTTTTTAAATTTGATACCATCTCGGAGAAAACATCAGATCAGATCCACTTCTTCTTTGCCAAACTGAACTGTCGACTCTACCGCAAAGCCAATAAGTCCTCCAACTTGGTAGCGGCCAACCGCCTGTTTGGAGACAAGTCCCTTACCTTCAACGAGACCTACCAGGACATTAGTGAGGTTGTCTATGGAGCCAAACTCAAGCCCCTGGACTTCAAGGTAAGTTGTAGATGTCAGAGTCCTCTCCACTCATCCTGAGAAGGGAGAGAAACAGGATCCAAATTAACACTCCCGTAGTCATCAATGGTTGATGGAGGCCGGGGACTAATCAAAACCCTTGGCACACTAACCCTTACTTAAGCCTTCAGAGAGCAATGGCACTCATGCCTTCTGTTATAGAGGGTACTACAAAGAAGTTGAATAAGGAATTCCTTTTTCGTTTCATCTACCATGCTCAAATATGTCGTTGATGCATGGTATGTGTCACACTCCCTTGGAGATTCCTGAAGCACACAAGCTATAACGTGTTTTGAGGAAGTAAAATAGCAAAGAAGTACCTCGACTTCTGTTTTAGTGATTGTTCTATTGCTGTGAAGAGATACTATGACCAAAGCAACTTATAAAAGAAAGCATTTAGTCGGGGGCTGGCTTACAGTTTGAGAGGGTTTAGTCCATTTCCATCCTGGCGGGAAGCATGGCAGCAGGCAGGCAGGCAGGCATGGGCCTGGTCCACAAGCAGGGGGAGAGAGGGGAGAGAGAGAGAGAGAGAGAGAGAGAGAGAGAGAGAGAGAGAGAGAGAGAGAGAGAGAGAGAGAGACTGGGGCTGGCATGGGCCTTTGAAACCTCAAAGCTGACTCCCAGCTACATATTCCCTCTAACAAGGACACACCTAATCCTTTTCAAAACTCCTTAATCAACTGGAGACTAAGCATGCAAATACATGAGTCTGTGGGGGCTGTTTTCATTCAAACCACCACCGCTTCATTTAGGCAGCATTTTCTTTCACTATGGAGCCCTGGCTGTCCTAGAACTCACTCTGTAGCCTAGACTGGCCTCGAACTCACAGAGGTCTGCCTGCCTCTGCACGAGTGCTGGGATTAAAGGTGTGTGCTACTGTCACATCTTCTAAACTCATTTGACTACAGGGCACTCATCCCTCTCATCCTCTTAACCATGCCATCACGCTTTACTTCCCATAGACCATGTTTGGAAATGACGCTTCTGTGAGTTTAGGTTTTCCAGAATCAGTAGCTAACACTGTACCTTCTGTCCTTCAGACTGCATTCCTCTTTCCTCTTTCCTGATCCTTTGCCTCCTCTTTCTTTTTCTTCCTGTAACATTTATTAGTAGGCTGATCCCTGGGTTTGACTGCTGGCATGGCCAAAGATGCACTGTATGAAAATATCAGTGACGGTGTATCGGATGTGTGAGGTTTCCTGAGTGCGGGTTAAAGTGGTGTCTTCTGAAGCCAGCACTGGAAAAGAGCAGAGAAATGATGACCCAAATACAGTCTGCAGGTGGAAACTGAAATTCAAGGCTCATTGAGGTGCACAGGTGATAGGGCTATTCCTGTTTTTCTTTAGGAAAATCCGGAGCAGTCCAGACTGACCATCAACAACTGGATAGCTAATAAGACTGAAGGCCGCATCAAAGACGTCATCCCTCAGGGAGCCATCGATGAGCTCACAGCCTTGGTGCTGGTTAACACCATTTACTTCAAGGTACTCCATTGGTCCTGGACAGACCCCAGGGACTCCCCCTTGCTATTAAGCTCACCCCTTCCACATCTTTGGGCATGTGTAGTCAGATCCCTTCTGAGAAATGGTCCATGCATAGTCTAGACAACCATATAAATTTCTGAGGAGCCCAGAGGTCCAGGGGCTTAATGATGTCCCCAGGTTGGGGCAGAACATGTGTACTTACAGACAACCCACCATCCTTCAAGGTGTGAATGGTGATAAAACTTTTGCACTTGTGTGATAATTTCTGTCATCCAATTAATGTTTTCTTTTCTTTTCTTTTTTATTTTGAGACAGAGCTCTGGCTGTCCTGGACTTGCTAAGTAGATCAGGCTGGCCTCCAGAGATGCACTTGCCTCTTCCTCCTGAGTGCTGGGATTAAAGGCCTGTGCTATCACACTAAGCTCAGTTGATGTATTTAAAAATTGAAACAAAGTGACTTTACTGATGAATTTCTCCACTGCCTAGAGCAACTTCTATCATATATAACTTCTTGGGGTTCTAAAGCTCCAGGTGCTGGGCTCACCTCAGACTAAGAAGGGGCCTGTGATGTGACCATGTAAATGGCTTGTTTTCCTCAGAGTCCAGGGCTCTAAGGACTGCTTTAGTCTGATTACATTTGAGGAGAGGGAGAGGACAATGGGAAGAGACACCATGGACCTGGAGGAGCACCCCTGCAGAACTGCTGGAATTGTGACATATGTATTTTATCCTTAGACAGGTGTCGTTTGCATTCCCCCTTGCTCCCTGTGGCCCAGCGACTTAGCCGGTCACTGCTAGTGTCAATCACTCTGCCTCTCAGAGCTTCCCTCTCCTCCAGAGCAGCAGACTGCATTTCCACAGCATGCTACCCTTTACAGTTGATGGAGCAACTTGCTATTTATTAGCACTCTTGATCCTCATACCACTGCTAGTGAGACCTTGGGCCATTTATGCAGTATGAGTTCTTTGTTGCAAATCTTGACTCCTTGTTTGAAAGTGTACAAATTCTTGGGAGTTACTGGGGACTTTGCTATGGCCCGATTTCTGTATCTATTGAATGGTAATGAGGATCCAGCTACTTTTAGGATTACCAAAGGGACAGAGTAGGTGAACACAGGTGAAATGCTCAGTGAGGTGTTTGTACATCCTCAGGGTACACAGTTAACATTCTGAAGTCATCGGCTCTTTCCCATGCCTAATTGGCTGGTGAGAAACCACCACTCAAAAAGAGTTCAATGACTGATCACAAGAGCAAAGAGCCAGAAAATGATAAGGGATGATGGGGGGGGGGGGCAGCCAGGATGGATTCTCTGCCTGGCAGGACTTCCAGACAAAATTCCTGGGATTGCTGTCTGAGTCTGGCCTCTAATTCATCAGGGACAGAGCACAGAGTCCAAGGCTGCCGCTGGGGACAAGGGGGTGGACAGCAGACAACACCAGACAGAACAAACTTGCAAAGAAGTCTGCAGGTTATTCTTGGATTTAGACTTTTCTGATTTAAAAAGAAGAAAACAATACCAGGTTGGCAAGATGGCTCAGCTGATAAAGGTGCTCTTGTCAGCATGCCTGGCAACCCGAGTGCCATCACGGAACCCACATGGTGGGGGGAAAGAGCCAGTTCCTACATGTTGATAAGTTGTCCTTTGATGTCACACTCACAGTGGTGCACCCTTCATCTCAAATGTAAATAATAATAATAATTTATTATTATTACTATTATTGCTAGAAATCTGAAAAATATAGAAAAAACACAGAATGAAACACACAGAAGTAACTGTACCACGCAGGCATAATTATTAGCCTTTTAACATATATCTAGTTTTTCTAATAACTACATTTATATGTTGATGTAATCAGATAATATGATTATGTCCCATATCAGTAAATATTCTGCTAGGATATTTTTGGTTGTGGTTTTGGTTTCTCCAGACAGGGTTTCTCTGTATAGCCCTGGTTATCCTGGGATTCGCTCTCTAGACAAAGCTGGCCTCGAACTCACAGAGATCCACCTGCCTCTGCCTCCCGAGTGCTGGGATTAAAGGCATGTACTACCACTGCCCAACTGATGTTTTTGTTTTTTGCTTTATGATTCTCCAATCTGACATCTTTCAGGGCCTGTGGAAGTCAAAATTTAGCCCTGAGAACACAAGGGAGGAGTCATTCTACAAGGCTGATGGGCAGTCATGCCCAGTATCTATGATGTACCAGGAAGGCAAATTCAAGTACCGGCGTGTAGCAGAAGGCACCCAGGTGCTGGAGCTGCCCTTCAAAGGGGATGACATCACCATGGTGCTCATCCTTCCCAAGCCTGAAAAGAGCCTGGACAAGGTGGAGCGGGAACTCACCCCAGAGCTGCTGCAGGAGTGGCTAGACGAGCTGACGGAGACGCTGCTTGTGATCCATATGCCCCGTTTCCGCATTGAAGATAGCTTCAGTCTGAAGGAGCAGCTGCAAGACATGGGCCTTACTGATCTGTTCAGCCCTGAGAAGTCCCAACTCCCAGGTTGGTATAGGAGAGAACCGCCTCCTCTCTACTCCAAGGTAAAGGTTTGACCAAGTGTGGGAGAGTCGAGGAAAGCATAGAGTGTCAAGTCGGGATACCTGGGTTCTGATCCTGGCTCTGTGATAAGCTGTGGCGATCCCTTGCTCTTCTCAGCCCCCCGTGAAAGGTTTCTTGTTTCTAGGCATCAAGCCAGTACTGTCGTCCTATGAATCTGTTTCTAATAGAGGAGATGAAACCAGGTGGGGAAGGATCTGAAAAAGCACTGGAATTCAAAGAGACAGATAGTAAAAGCAAGGCATGCTGGGACATGCCTGTAATTCCAGCACTTGGGAAGTGGGGCAGAAGACAGTGTTCCAAGCCAGCCTGGGCTATTTAACAAGACCTTGTCTCAAAAGTGCAATAAAACAGGCGCTAGAGAGATGGCTTAGCAGTTAAGAGCATGGACCGTTATTGCAGAAGACACATAATCAGTTTCCAGCATCCAAGGCAGACAATACAACCTCTTGTTACTCCAGCTCGAGGGCATCTGACTCTGTAGGTGCCTGTACTCACGCACACACACACACACACACACACACACACACACACACACACACACACGTGCACACACATGCATGCACACAAGCATGCACACACTTAGAAATAAGAAAATAAATCTTGAATAAAATAAAAATATGATAGTCAATTAAAGTTTAAAAATGGACCTTAAAACACCTTTTTTATTTTTTCCATTTTTGGTTGAGACAGGATCTTATGTAGCCCAGGTTAGGGTTAGCCTGGAATCCACTGTGCAGCTAAGACTGGCTTTGAACTGATTGTGCTGTCTCCACCCTGAGTGCTGGGATTATAGGTGTGTGCCACCATGTCTGGTATTATCGTTTGCTTATCCATATACTTATTTGTTGTTATGTATGGTGTGTATAGCGGGATGCACAAGTGCCACAGTGTGTGTGTGTGTGTGTGTGTGTGTGTGTGTAGGTCAGAGGACAACTTTCAGGAGTTCAAAGCCATGTGGATCCCAGGGAGTAAACTCAGGTTGTCAGGGTTGGTGCCAAGTGTCCTTACCCTGATGAGCAGTCACTGGCCCCCACATATCTTTGTCAAAAAGAAGCCCAGAGCTGGGCATGGTGGCACACGATTATAACCTCAGCAGTCAAGGCTGAGGCAGGGTGACAGTTTAAGGCCAGCCCAGGCTACACAAAGAGATTCTGTCTAAAAAATACTTCAATCAGGTAATTAGATTTATCTTTAAACTAGCTTTGAAAGCCAAACTGTTCAGAAATATTACCATTTTTGGAACATTTTTAATATATGGAAAAACATTTTTACGAGACATAGTTGGATTTTTCTTTAAGAACAGAGTCCCATCCTTCCACCTTCCCCAAGAAGCTGACATGAGATTAAATTCACAAGATCCAGGCCAAAGAAGCCCACATAACTCCCTGTTTGTAAGAGGTGTCCACCGAGGGGGTGGAGGTTTTACTAGAGGAGGTTTAGCTTCTATTTCTCACACCACCCAAAATGATGTCTTCATTCAGACCCATCTCCTGTGTGGCCTGAAGCCGAATCACAGCATCCCCTCCCTGTTCTTCCTTCCAGGAATTGTTGCAGAAGGCAGGAATGACCTCTATGTGTCTGATGCATTCCACAAAGCATTTCTTGAGGTGAGTCCATCTCCCTCGACCCTCTGTCTTTTCTGCATGTTATCAATCTGCACGAGTGTCTGGAGTTTCCTGCTGTGCTCTATGGTAGAGACAGCGGGTCTGTTAGCAGCAGGACAGAACTGTGAAGAGGCAAGCTTGCAGTGTTCCTTTAATCGTGTGCGCATGGAGAAGTGTGAAGCCTCCATATGGCATTCCAGCTCCCGCTGCTTGACCTTCGCTCCTGCTAGAGAAGCATAGTTAGAGAGTCGCCCAAGGCAAAGGAGCCAGCAAAGGCCACTAAGAATTCTGAGATGTTTCAAGAATATCCAAAGCATGGGGTAAAAGACTGAAACCTAATCTGGACAGAATGGGGAAAGGCATATGCTTAAGTGGGGAACAAAAGAAAGGGGGCTCCTAATGAGTGTGGGTCACCTTAGTGTCCTCAGGTGTGTTCTTGGAGAACTAGTGCCATAGATATACAGCATTTCAGGAAACCTAGTTAGGTGGGCACATGTTGATCTTGAGAGACTAACTACCCACAATGGTGTGCTGGGATCTGAGACGTCCCAGTGAGGAAAATGGCGGAGTCTTGCTCAGCCTGTCTTCCCCCAGCTGAGGTGAGCACAGAACTGTGTTAGAGTAAGTCGTGACAGCTTGTGGAAGTGCTGGTTCTCAGATGCTGAAGTGTGGATCCATAGCATTAGGTGGAGATCTTTACCCTTGGAGACCGAGGGGTGGAGCCTGACAATCTGTTTCTTTACCCAGATCCTCAGGGGATTTTCACATACAATCAGGTTTGAGGCCCAATGGTGTAGGCTGTTCTTCATGGATGCTAAGACTGAGCAGGAGATGGGCCAGCATTACAGTTTACAGGACTTGAGTTTGCCAAGAAAGGTTGCAATCAGAGGGAAAGGTTCAGAGTACAGTGCCAGAGAACTTAACTGTAGGATCCAAGCTCAGTGGAATCTGAGGGAAGCAGAGGATGAGGAGACAAGAGGTTGGAGCTGGCTATATCTTATCTTCACACTACTTGGAAGTTTGGCTCAAGAATGAGCATGAAATAGATGTGGGACAGCCAAAGGGAAGGGAAAAAAACATTAGCCAGCCCCACAAAGCACAGAGATCACAGGTGCTTTATTAAGAGTCACAGAGAGTAGGCAGAGGCAGGAGGATTGCCATAAGTTCCAGGCCAGCCTGGTCTAAAAAGAAAGCTAAAAGCCAGCCAGGGTACATAGTGAGACTGTTAAAAGAAACCAGAGTAGGTGGCTGACACTGGAGGATCTTGAACAACAGACTAGCCTCAGCTACTAGAAAACACAGCAAGATCCTATCCCAGAGTAGAGGTAAGTAACAGTAATGTTACCAAGTGTCAGACATTTTTTGAAGGCATCTCTTCAGATGTGCCATTTAAATACCGTTGCCTCAGGTTATTACTCCAAGAAAAATATCTCATCCAACTGGAGGACTGTCTTTTCATAAGCCATAGGTTCTGCGTAGCTGTTTGGGGTAGTTATACCCGGGATTTTTTTTTTTTTTTTTTTTTTTTTTAAGCTTCAAGAGTGAATCTATTTCAATTACAGATCTCCGATCTTAAATCCTGAATTTCTCTTAGCAGTTGGTTCAAACCAATGCTCTGTGATTGTGTTCAACCATGCTACCAGAATGTGACTTCTAGTTCAGGAATTACACTTGTGGAACTCTTGCAAGGCTTTGGATGAGCCCAGCGCATGACATCCACTGGGTGTAAGAATGAGTAGGTGTCTGGAAGGAGCCGCTTGTGTGGAAAGCCATCAGTGCGGGGAGCTGCAGGCTGTGTGTGTGTATGTGATTTACGGGCCTGGGATGGACTGTGGGTAGCTAATGCTTGTTTCCTGTGTGACCCGCAGGTGAATGAGGAGGGCAGCGAGGCAGCAGCGAGCACTGCTGTCGTGATTGCTGGCCGTTCACTGAACCCCAACAGGGTGACCTTCAAGGCCAACAGGCCCTTCCTGGTTCTCATAAGGGAAGTTGCTCTGAACACGATTATATTCATGGGGAGAGTGGCTAATCCTTGTGCGGGGGAACTAAAACGTTCTTAATCTTTGCACCTTTCCCCATTCTGCTGTTGTCATAGAAGTAAAAATAAATACGACTGCCACCTCACAAGAATGGACTTTTCCACTTGAAGACAAGAGACTGAGGCACAGACAAGATGCTGTTGGGGCATCTGGTAAAGTGACCTCTCCAATTCTTCTCTACCCAGTAACAACTTCTGGGTAAATGAAGGGGAAGAGTCCAGTCATGGCAGCACACACCTAGATCCTAGTACTTTGTAAGACAGAAGCAGGAGGATTAGGAATTGAGGCCAGTTGAGGCTGGGCTGCAAAGTGAGAGACCCTGTCTCAAGAAGACTTCCCTCTCCCCCAAAAGTAGAAAAGAAAACCATAAAAAAAAGAAGAGGTAAATATGTTACTATTTCATCTTGGAGGATAGCAGGCATCTTGAAAGGGTAGAGGGCCCTTACATTCTCAGTATTCCTACCATATTACAAAACTCCAAAAGAGTATAAACAAATTAAATAATCTTTATATAGAAAAGACAGAGATTCAAATATGAGTATTAAACCTTTTATTTCTCAAACCACTCACATGCATAATGTTCTTATACACAGTGTCAAAATAAAGAGGAAATGCATTTTTATACAAACAGAATTTCAAGTATACATTAATAGACTTTTCAGATTACTAACCAAGTTGCTAAGGTTTCATTCACATTGTTCTTAAAGCTGTTCAACAAGAAAGCTTTTGCTAACTGCTTAAATATGTTTATATAAACCCACATTTGAACTCTTCTTTGAGTCCCCCTCCCCTGACCCTCCTGCCCTCCCCCCTCCCCGACACAACAGGGCTCTAGGAGACATGCTATCCCTCCAAGAATGATTGGCTTTTCACCAGGGGAAGACAGTCAGTCGACAGGAGGAGAGTCCGAGGACACCTGTCAAATTAAGGGGAATGAACCTGGTCCTTAGATGTGATACACTTCTGAATGATGTTCTAGTGCTCTTGTAGTTTCACTTGATTTTTAATCAAAGAAAAAGAAAAAAAAAAGCTTATCACAAAACAACAGATTTTTTTTAAATTTGGTAGCTAAAAAGTAATTCAATAAAAATAAAATTTCCCCCAGGAAAAATTCCAAAATCAGGGTAGGTATTTTGAACTCCTTTATTTAGTGGTTCTTTGCCCCTTTGGCAGGGAGTGCTTGGGGGCAGCTTAAATAGATGGTAATTCGTGTTCACATTAAGATATTTAATTTAACAGCAGTTGCCTCGCATGTGGAAGGCAGGCCCTGGCTCAATCCCCAGCACTAGGGGGGAGGGCAGAGATTTGGTTCAATCTTACAGGGTCTGGCAAGAGTTTCCCTCTTCAGCTCTCCTCCTGAGTTCTGGCTTCAGGGCCATGAACAGCCACACTCCTTAGGAATTAAAGTGCATATTTTTTCTTCTCAGTACAGGGGAAGGGTTTACACTTAAGTGATGATCGAAGGAAGGCGGGGGAGAGAAAATCTTACTCCTACATAAAGGTCCTTATAATCAAGGTCACGACAAAAACCAGTCTTAGGAGGAGGTAAGATGCACACAGCCAGCCCGGCGCTCTCAGCGGTGTGGGAGCGCTTCCTGGGGGCACTCTTTTTTGAGGCATCTTTGCTATTAACGGAGTAATTGTTACAGATGAAAGACACAAACCTCAAATGTTAAGACTCTTCTCATAGGGAGAAAACAGACTGCTAAGTTCTTATAGTTAAAAATAATCTACCCCGTTCCCGTGCAGGACTAAACGTTTTAGAAAGTGATTGTCTGTTTCAATACAAATTCTCCTTGATGAACAGCTATGGAAACTGTCTAGGTTGAGTCTGCTGCTTACAAACGCTACTCTGTCAGCTTCAGAAACAGGACGAGACCACAGTTTGATTCTTGCTGTCACTCAGTAGCAGCTGAAATGAAATCTTTCTGTGATTTCTTAATGTGACAGCTCTAACCCAAATCTACTTTTCTGGTTTCTTGTAAATGTTTTACTGTTTCTTGGTAAGAAAACCCTCGAAATTCTCACAGAGAAGTTAATGCTACATTATAAGCTGCATGAAGAAGTAATGGGCTCAAGAAGAGGGATCTTGTCCTGGATTCTGCCTCTGAGTCCAGTGTGATCTACTTTTCACAGTGACCAGTGGGAAGGCACAGTGCCAGGGACAGGTAGATGGGAGACAGCTGTCACCCGTTAAATAAGCACCATAGAGGAGAGTTAGAGTTCCTTCAGAACAGGTCCACTGAAGGAATCAGATTTCTGCCACACTGACTTTCCTCTTTCAACCCTCAGCCTTTCCGAGGCAGTGCCTGAGCGGGCCCCATCCTAAAAGACAGAAACCCGGAAATCTAAGTGCTCTGCCAATGTGCTTTTCCCTCACTTAGGTAGGCGACAACCCCAAGTCTAGAGTGCTGTTCTTAAGATGTCTTAAAGGGAAAGGAAGCCACTGGGCCCTGAGTAATCAATCCATTAGAACACAAAACAATGCAACAGGCTGAAGCTGTGAAGAGACCACGGTAGTTGAACAGCTAATGGACTCTGAGAGCACACTTGCCTTTGGTAATGACTTTTGCCAGGAGATGCAGCAAGGTCACACTAGGATCAGGCCAGCAGTTGCTTAGCTGTTTCAGAAAGGATTTGCATCTGGAACTATATAGTTCAGTGGCAGAATGCTTGCCCAGCATGCTCCAGATTCTTGGGTTCAATACCCAGTACTAAGAGAGAGAGAGAGAGAGAGAGAGAGAGAGAGAGAGAGAGAGAGAGAGAGAGAGAGAGAGAGAGAGAGAGAGAGAGAGAGAGCGAGCGGGCAAGGGAGGCGGAATGAATGAGTGGATGAGCAAGACAAGGCATCAGGGCAGAAGATGATCTGACTTCACAGTTGTGGTAGAAATTTCTTTAATCCCTTGCTCAAAATACCAAAAGCTGACACATTTACCTTTTACTAACACTTCCCCACTTTTTTGTCTCTTCTAAATCTTAAAGAGCAGTGTGGTATCATGTGCATGAAGGTCCTTTCTCTAGCATGACAGCCTGAGGGTTTTCAACAGGAACTGCTTCCCTCTCCCCCTCACTACCAGCAGGAGGCCGGCGAGTTTCCCATGGCTAGGGAGGCAGTTGGCTCTCTGACCTGCAGCTTTTACAATCAACACCAAGGCCTTAACGCTGCTCAGAACACGTGTCCATATTCCGATGCTAATTAGTCCTCTGCTCTCATCAACTTTTCCCTTAGTCCGTCTTTTCTTCCACAACCTATTTCTGAAATCCAAATTATCAATGACTTACGGGCAATATATGAAGGGACTTTTCTATATGTCCAGGATACTCGAGAGTCTGCTACACTCAACTTGCTCTTGAAGCACACATTTCTTCCAGCAGCTAGAAGCTGCTTAGGAGCTGCTTTGAAAAGTGGTTTTCTATTACCATGTGGAAGGTTGCCAGTGGCAGGTAATAAACTGTCATGGCTATTATACATCTCTTCTACTTAGGGTAAGAATGGAAGCTATGGAATCTTATTTGGGAATTACTAGGTTAGGTCTTTTTAACATCCTAAAACAAAGATGTTAAAATTTCACATACTAGTCAGAATATTTAAGCCTTGGATAGTTATTTCATTCAGAAAGAAACAGCTAAGGAAAAGCAAGAGTCACTTGACAAAGAAATCCTACCAGGCTAAGGGACAAATAATCAGAAGTGTTATGATCACCCAAGGCAGGATTATTCTTTCCTCTATGAAGTAGCAACACTGCTTGCTTGATTTACAAAGAAAAGTAGCTGTAGACAGCTTGGGCTTGGTTCTGCATTTTTACAGTACGCTGAAGTACTGTTCTGTTTTCCCTATGACCTGAACAATCTTCACTTAAATCACATGTGCAGAGGAAAAGGACTCTAGAGAACAGGCCTTGAAAACTGCTTTCATTTACTTATGCACACTTTGTATTTGGCACATAGGATACTGGATCGATTGTAACATTTCCCTCCAGACCTACTCTGAGAAGAAACAGATGAGTCTGAGTTCTGGCTCATTGCCAGCTTTAAGCCAAGAACCATGCCTGGGATAGCAGCAAAAGTACCTGGGTCAAGAAATCTAGCTTTAGGCATTTCTCTCCTGGGTCCCTTCCACTCCAAGGGATTCTTTCTCTTTTCAATCTACAACTACAAACGAACAAAAACCCACCTTCATTTCGCTTGGGGAGTTGGGGAAAGAAGTAATACTAGCTTCAGGTTTTCCTGCCCAAGAGCATGAATGACTACCCACAAAGTGATTTCCAACCCAGGCTGTACATCGGAATCATCTGGGCATGTTGTTGTCCAGGGAAATGAACCCAGGGTCTTGTGCATGCTAAGAAGGAGCTTTCCACCAAAGCCACACTGCACTCCCGCTCCATTCCTAGGGGTCTTTCTAAGCCCAGATTGCACAACAGACCAGTCAACCTGGTCTGATTTTAAATAGACAACATAAAGTCAATGCTCATTCAAGCCAGAGGAAGAGGGTAAGAATCTGTTTCCTTCTAGATTCATGAATTTAATTTACCTGGGCACTTCTTTACTCTTTTTTTTTCTTTCCAAATAGGTCAGTCTGGCCAAAAAGGGAACAACACTGACAATAAAGTATTATTGAGACTTAATTAAGCATGTGTTTTAAAGTACAGTTTATAGTCAGACATTAGGGGGCAGGCCTAGGACAAGACTCTGTGCACAAACAGCAAACCACAGGAAGATACTTTCCTAAGCACAATTTAATTCCCGAGTCTGAAACACTAGCATGGCTAAAAGACTGAGAACTACTCTACGGTTTAGCAAGGAAACAGCCCATCTTTCTCCCTGGAGGACTCATACTGGATTTATTCACAAACTGCTCACAGTCACTTACATGGAATGCTTCTCCCTCTATTGGGAATTTCACACTGTCTGTATTCCTTACCTACATTACCTAATGTCACAAGAAAAGAAAACAGTACCCAGAAAAAAAGTGGCAACCCTAGAGATCTGAAAATAGATAATTTGCTAGTTTTCATTTCTAACCAGAGAATTCCTGTTTTTAGACATTACAACCCAGACAGAGCATTCGAATGAAAAGGTGGAAAGCTTTCCAGGATAGCTGTTAGAGCCAATAGTTACTCCTCAGCAGTAA